CTAGACAGCCATTGACAAGATGTCCTCACAAAATAGGTGTCCTTACATTCCAGGTATCTACATAGCCTTCACATCCTATGTTTCTTTTCTTTCCACACATCCATCCAATCTCTTTTATCAAATTAGAAGAGCAAGCTGTCAAATGATTCATATGCTAAAGTCATACAGTGATCAAGTATTTCTGTATTGTTTCAGACATATCATCAATGTATTATTGACTTGTTTTTACCAGTGCATGTGCTTCAGGCTGGTCACATGTAACTCTTGGTATATTAAATATCTAACTAGTCCACTGTCATGGAAAATTTGTTGTGGTAAACACACTCTGAACTGATCTTGGCTTCTTGACCACTGAAGACAAATCCATTGAATCAAAAGTTGGCCTTGAAACTGAAGAATTTCTCAAAGGCTCTTGAAATGAGCCATCCAGGCTTTCCTTACTAGATCATGGATACCATCTTCACCGCCTCCAGCATTGGTCTGAACCCCTTCTCAAGCCCAAATTCGCTTGTATCTGCATGCTGTGGATACAAATATGTTCTTAGATGAAATGCAAAAACAAACTTCATATGATGCCAGAGGAGAAGACTCTGGAATCATGCTGACCTAAGTGCACTCTTACCTGTCTGCAGACCAGAGAGTCTGGCACCTTTTCTTGTCCTGTCTGTCTGTGTTGTGGGACTTGACCAGAGCAAGTTCTTTGACCAGCAAGTAGACAGTGACATTAATGATGGAGGGCCAACTTTAAAACGAAAGTTTAAAAATGTGCTGGAAAAAGAAAACACATGATTCATCAGAGGAAAGCAGCTTTGAGCATTCTTCCCTGGAAAATTTTTCATCACAAAATTCCTGTAATCTCCATTCTTTCAGTTTTTACTTTGATCAGCACAGGTTTATTGAGAAGGCTCAACAGAATGAATTCAGGCTTATGCATGCTGGGATTCCCGGTCCTGATAGGATTTGCCATAAAATCGGTAATGGCACATGTGAAAGAATGCAGCCTGATGTATTTATTTAGCAACTCTCTAACAGCATTTTCCAAAGACATACACAAAATATTTCTAGAGAGAAAAAGAAGGAAAGAACATTCAGAAATTATTGGTGTCCATGGATTAAGAGAGTCATTTGAGAAATGCCACAACCCAGATTCAACCAGCATTTTTAATGCTTCTAGTCCGATAGTTTGATTCTCTTTCTTTTTTTTTTTTTTTTTAAATTTTGAGACATGACGGCATAAAAAAGGGACAATATATTCAAGACAGGAAGAATTAACTTTATGATATGACTGGGCAAACTCAGTTGTGCTGCCAAGTTGAAGGTCATTCTTTTGGCTTCAGAAGTAGCTACCCTGGGATCGATCTGTGTGAGAGCAGAGCTTGTCTACTGTATTTCCTGATAAGTTGGTACTGTGCTGATTATTTGGTTGTAGCAGGCAAGCAGACTCGGGCATATTCTATTTTCTTTTTCTCCTAGATGTAGTAAGGCAGCAGCCACTGATATGTCAATAAATATTACATTAAGAAATGTTCTCTTCATATAAAGTCAGGAGAGAGACAGAAGTATCCATTCAAAGTCCTTTGGGGAAGTGGGATTTGATGCCCCATTGGTGAAAATTGCTGCTTATCCACCCATCCAAGTATTCTTGGCAAAGACGTTTGGCAGTAGCGTGGCTGTTGAGCTCACTGGAGCCGTGACAACTTCGCTCGGCTGGGCTGAGAGCTGCCCCGGGAGACCCACTAGGTCAGAATTGCCCTCCAGGCTGTGGCTCTGACTCCGTAAAGGACTTGTACAAACAATTTCATTTCCTTTGCCTCAGTTTCCATAAATGTAAGTAGATACTGATAACATACATCACAGTCTCACAATTTGTCAGGCGTAGTTAAACCTGCTGGAGAATATAGTGTTAAGCAGCTATATAGATATGTGATAGAACCACAGGGTTGGGGTGAGACTTCTGATGAATAGTGGGGCTGCTGGACAAACAAAACCAAAGCAACACAGTAATCCAGGTAAAGAACAAGCATCAGAAACTGAGCTCCTGGTTGTGAAGAATCAGCTTCATCTCTGCCTGCATGACACAGCTGCTTTGCCAAGTATCTGAGCCTGGAAACTCAGTGAAAATCTGCAAAATAAGTCTTGTCTCTCCCAGGTAAGAATAGGTTCTTTCTTCAGTAGAATTTAAGAAATTTTGTTAAGTTAGGTAAAGTGTTATGTAACATCCGTTTCATTTCTGTTATATTACCCTTTTTTTTTTTTTTTTGGACAGAAATGCATTTTAGATGAATATTTAATGCCCTTGCTTTTAAGAAAGTGCCTTTGAATCACTTTGGTCTGCTGCTGACTTCAGGTTCCTGGGAGAGGAGGAGCTGCATGAGCTGAATACTAGTGTGCTGTCAGGTACCGTGGCTGAAAAGGGAAGGTACAGCTCAGGGGTGCCAGCTGAACGTGGCAGAACCACACATTTCCCCTTAGAAAGGAGCAGAAGGTAGCAAAACCTGTCGCCTGAGGGTGTCCACAAGAGAAACCATGGAGGAGCCTGAGGTGCCACTTGGCTGTGCCGCTTGGAGTGGGGAAGACAGCAGAGGCACAGCGTGCCTCTGAACGGAGGCAGACCCCTTTGACTCTTCAGATGAATTATAGAGCACAGAATTATTTTTGCTGCAAAGCTAATACTTTTTCTCATTCATAATCTTTTTTTACCAGTGAAGCAATTAAAATATTCATTCAGCATATTGTGCTTTAAAAATATAAAACACAAAGATCAGCAGGCGTGTTTTCATTCTGTCGTTCCCGGTATTACTCATCATACCAGAAGAACTCGTGCATTTTTTAACGGCATTCTTTTTTCCATCAGATCTTGTTTCTTTTTGGAGGCTGAAGTGTGAAGCTCAGTGGTTAGTTCACCTTTTGTAGAACGGATGCATAAATTTTTATTCCTAGTCTGTTTCAATACACGTAATCTATTTTGTAATGTAGGAGGCTCTTCATATAGTAAGCTTGGTTTTGAGAATCTGGTTAGTAGAGGAAATGAACATATTTTAATCTGAAGATTAAATGGCAATGGATTGTAAAAACAAGCAAACAAACAGCCTTACCCCCCTACCCCTCCCAGATAAACTTGGTAATTTTTTCCTGGCTTGGAAAGCAGCAAATGATTTCTTTGCAAGTCGTCCTGTTCACGTGGGTTCAGTGAGATGTATTGCAACACCTTTTCTCTTGGATCTGTTTTTCTGGTTTCTAAACTGAAAGATGTCAGTGATTCTCTGAGCAGTAGAAGCATGGGCTCTCAAAAAGACGAATGAACTTCTCCACCTGAAGTCGATATATTGTACCAATGTCCATTCACATATCTGCGCTCTCCGTGTAGTGCTGGCTGCTGTATATTGCCCAGAAAGTTGGGCGTGTTACACTGATACAATGCCTATTTAAGGAAGAATATCTTCATTTATCTTTGAACACTACCACTTTGCCATTTAGCCCAAAGGTGTGTTGTAACTGTATAGACATTACATCATTTTAATTTAATACTGTAACATCTCAGTAGATACACTGTTTAACTGCAAAACTTCTCTGTCTCGCTGTTATTACGAAAATAGGAGTATGCCAGGTAAGCCAGTAGAAGAAAGAGACAACTTTTATGTTACCAATGAGTAGTTTTGTGTGGCTCGATTTTGGAACCTTAAAGGCTGAATCATTTTTCAGTCTTTATTTGCAGTGAAGCTTGATTCATGAAATTCCATACATCGGTTGTACTTAAGTATTTTGAAGTTAGTAGATAGAGCATGAATTTCTAATAAATTGTACCACGCTTTGTTTAACTATTTCCTACCCCCAAGCCTCCCCCTGCAAAGAGCCTCAAGAACCCATGCCCTCACAAGAGCAACTTCACAAAGATTCTGAAACTTTTAATCATTAACTTTGATTCTAAAATTAATGTCTCACCTCTCCATGCAGTTCTGAAAACACTCTGTAGCTGACTCTTCTATAACATTTTAGGGAAAATATGACTAGAGGTGGTAAAATGGCCAGGTGAAGTGCCTGGCTTGCTTTGAGCCTTAGCTAACAACACACATGGAGAAACTTTTTGACAGAGATGTCTATATCACTTTCTTGAAGCTAAAGCATTGTACTCCTTGGATGTTAGTTATGAATCAGTTTAGTTTCTTGGTATTAGATCCAAGACTAGTTACTGTTTGAGGAGAAAATAGTGCCAGAGAACAATAAGGATGGATTTATGGCAAATGGATTTTATAATAAATATTTCATTGTATTCTTGACCTTCTTATCATTTGCCTCAACTGTTTTTGTGCTTTTTCTGGAATGATATTTCATGTAAGGTATTCCATTAGAAATTTATTTTGTAGACCACCTTAGGAATGACTAAGACTTCTGTTCCTGCATCACTTAAGGGTCACCCTCAGTGGTAATAGAACAAGCATTCCATGATTTATCCATCACCCTTGCCTTTACATTTGTGCAGACTTCCTCCTTTTCCCTTCATCTTTACTTTTCCCATTTTTCTTGATACAACATCCCTACAGAGACTACAGTAGCTGCTCACATTCCAAGTAATTAAATGTAAAAGGAGAGACCACTAAAAACTTCATCACATTGAGTGCTTTTTTTTGTTTGCCGTAGTCTTGTGGTTTTTCCTCTAGCTTGTGATGTGTTACGCACTGAAACAGATGATGTTTCTCCAGTGCAGGAGAAACCCTTGCCAGGACAAACCTTGCTGAACCTTGAGAAATCTTGCTGAGGCAATGTTCTTGACTAACTTCTGGCTGCTTTTACAGAGGTTTGGGTTTGTCATTGTACGGTTATGTTGCCACTGAAAAAATAATACGAGGAATCAAAACAGTGTAATGGCAGCTTTGCGGGGCTACCAGCATACCTTTGCTGGAGTATAGCCCGCATAAACCACAGCTTGATTACATTGAGTAGCATATGCAATGCCAGTGTTCATTCCATAATTGTATGACTATCACTTTGGCCTGTTTCAGATAAGAAGACAAGGCGGAATACAATTACTGGTGGACCTATTGGACCATCGGATGACGGAAGTCCACCGTAGTGCCTGTGGAGCTTTGAGAAACTTGGTATATGGGAAGGCAAATGATGACAACAAAATTGCTCTGAAAAACTGTGGTGGTATCCCAGCATTAGTACGGTTACTCCGCAAGACTACAGATTTGGAAATCAGAGAACTGGTCACAGGTTTGAATCTTTCAATATTCTTTGTTCGAACCCTATGTAGACCCTGCAAGCACAGTTCTGTGCTGCATGCCACCTACTCCGTCAGTAACTCTGTTTTATTAGCATCTTCTTTGCTGTAACAAAACACCTTCACGCCCTTTGGATAGATGTAATGTATGAATACCTTTATTCAACATTATGCAGACAGTTTACAGGTGCAGGCATGGTTTATACTTACGGTTGCAGTCACTTGGTTCTTGGTTAGCTATGAACGCTCTTGCAGGAGATGTGCTCTGCTCTCCCCACTGTCTGGTGGAGAAGTTGGATTTTACTGAATTTTCTTAGAAGCTGTTATTAATTTCTTTTACAGCCTATATAGTGAGAAGCATGATTTGTTTGTTTGTTTGTTTGTTTTTTTACTCTTTCTTGTGGTTCTGATAGGAAAATGGAAAAGCATGTTGGAGAGATGGACAACGTCATCTTCTGAAGCCTTTTTTCTGAAAATTGATAGTATGCTATGTGATGTATGTTAGACACAGGGCATGCAGGTAGTGTTAAGAGTCTGTTTCTTTTCTTGATATAGTAGAATCTGATTTTTCTAAGATTCTTTGGACTTTTTCACTTATGAAATTCAAGTTGGATTTCTCCACCCCACCCCAGAAATACAGAAATGCTGTCAAACAGCACCAGTCTGAAATGTCTGGAGATATTTTTTCCCCTTGCCCCTAAGCTATCCTATTTAAAATGCAAAACAGAAGCTAGATGGGTTTTTTGATTTTTGGCTTTGTGGTTTCATTCTATTTGATTGCTAACATCAATGTGGTGATTAATTTAATGCTACAAATAAAAAAAATCTTAAGATCTTTTCATTATCCTATTTTACAATGCCTGTATTTCCATTATGATTTTCTTAGTAAAATCTGTAAGAAAAGTTCTCATTTCTGTCATAGAACCATCAGAGTACACACTGTCATCTGTGCTTCTGCAAAAATTACTTACCCGTGTGGGTCGGACCTCATTTAGGATACAGTTGATAAGATTATCGTCCTTTGGTTGACTTCAGGTTCCTTCCTTGAGGGGTGTCTGGATAAACCGCATGGTGTTTATTAAATGTAGATTTCTATATTTAATTTTGTTTCTTAGTTACATCACCTATCACCTCGTACTAGTTAGGCAGGATTAATGGGGCAGAGGTACTGGGTTGCACGAGCGCGGATGGTGCCTCCTGCAGAGTGACAGAATTACTGACAGATCTAATAAAGTGTAACCACTGCTTCGGATTCAACATACTTGTTTGTCTCTTGGATGTGTTGGCTGTGTCCTGGCTCCAGGGAACATTCTGACTATTTATTCTGAGTAGTAAGTGGCAAACTGCTAATGAACATCAGCAGTACACCTCAGCAGTCGCAGTGGCGCTATGTCATTAGGTCATATAAAGGAAAGATACGAGGCTACAGTTTGCATTCCTTACATTGCACAGTATGTTGTTAAATTTTCCTGAATTCCCATAGTGTGTGCTAGCATGCCCTCAAATTGTTACTACCGAGAAGAATCGGTCCTGACCATCCTTGGTAGGCAGGAACCAGCCTTTGTAGGGGCAGATGCAGCTCCCAGGGATGGTAAGCATCAGGAGTGCTGGATGTCTATGAAAGCGGAGCAGAGCAAGATGGTGGCCCTGAGGAATGGAGTCAAAGCCAGTTGTATTTCAAGATTTAATTCCTGGGCCTGGTTTTGTATTGGTTTTTTGATTATTTTTTTTTTAGTAGCCACTACTTCCCAGAAGGCCACTGCTTGCCCGCGATGGGTTTTATGCCTTTCAGAATGTAAATCACTGGCCCTTGCTTTGAAAATGCAAACCTAGTAGTGGTAGCGTTCTGCAAAGCTCCTCTCCAAAGCAATGCTCGTAGCTGCACCTCTCATCTTGCATCTCTTGGGAAACAGGCTGGAATCACACATCTGACTCGGTTCTCGTTTGCTTTTATGTAAAGCGTTCTACCGTGATGGCTGCCCCATTTCAATTCCTTCCCTCTGTCCTTTCTGGGGAAGGAAAGATAGCTCCTGGAGCAGCTGGCTCGGCAATGAAAAAATTTGGCTTGGTGGTGGGCACAAGGGGAAATAAAAGAAGTTCTTCCTGCTTCCCATCAGCCCTCTTGAGTTGAGGTGGCAGGAAGATAATTATTCCAGTAGTGCCACCATAGCCTGAAGGAAGTACAGAGAAAATAACAGCAAATGTGTGTTTTAGGAGTAAACATACTCATAGAATGATTTGGGTTGGAAGGGACCTTTAGAGGTTATCTAATCCAACGCCCAATAATAGCTTGAGCCTTCCTATCTCATGTTCATTGTACATCCTGTCTACCTGAAAGCTGTTCTTGTTTGTTAGTTTTAGAGAAATTTCCTGCCTTAGGAATTCGTACGGGCTCTGTCATCACCGCCCCTAAACACTCCTCCAGCGTTTGCCCTCGGAGCGCTTCTTCTAGGTGGGGACATGCCATTATCTCGGTTGTACGGATGGGGAACTAAGCCTATCGAGTCTAAACCACCTGTCCCGAAACGTGGCAAGACGAAGGTGTGAATTACTTTGAGTAGGCACTTGGCTGCGAGGGAAGAAATACAGGCAGGAGAGGTTTTTAGCAGCTCAATTTGCCTGAACAGTAGCGAAGCATTCATCGCCTGCCCCAAGTACCGTGAAGCACATGCCTGCCAGAGCGAAAGTTATGATATTAGTTCCTTTCTCAAACATGCACATTTTCTTCCTTCTTGTTGCTTCTCTTTAAGGAGATTATAATTTTCCATTTCCAGCTATCTCCAGACAGGTTTTGGAAGGCTATTTAAACCTGCAGACCAGCTTTCTATCCCAATACCTCATTGCTTGTCAGGATTGCCTTCGGTGCTGTCTGTGGCTTTTCCTCTTTTCCAGAGATTTCTTTCTGCCATAATCTCTCCAGAACGGAATTTCTCACTTCTTTCTTTATCTCATCTTTCTCCTCCTTGGGAGCAGAGGACTCAGGCTAATATTGGAAAACCTTAACAATGCTCAATATTTCGGATTGGGCAAACTGAACCTTGTTGCAAAGCGGCACAGCTTCAAGGATTTCTTACATGGAGCAAATGGTTTTGGTGCAAGCTCTTATGTAGAAGCCATGAGGGAAGTTTGCTGCCTGGCTGCTAAGAAATTAAATGGTGTTAATGCCCAGGAAATAATTCCTGAAATATTGAAAGATTACTCTTCCAGAAACACTTCCACAATCACTGTTTTTTATTAGAAGAACCTGGATAAACTGAGGTATACCAATTAATATACACACTTACACAAAGCTGAAATACTCTGATAGTAATAGAGATTTCAGCATGGCCTACGGCGTCTCATAATTTCCGGAGAGTCAAGGAGAACCGCAATGACAATATGTTGTTTCACGTAGGTCTGTAAAGGAAAAGAAGTCAGTATAAGCTGGATGCACCGTGCTTAATTTAGCCGTCTTTTCACCTCAGCGCTGTGCTACTGGTTTCCACAGTAGCTGCTGTTAATGGGAAAAAATAAAAGCCTTCTATTTTAAAATAATTAAATGTTAACGCTTTCCTAATAAATATAAATAGACAAGAACACAGTATAAAATTAGCACAGATTCTGCAGATGGTAAAAAAAATGTTTTCACTTGTTAATAATGACAACGTGTAGCTGATTTGTGACTCCCTTGCTTTTCCTGAGTTAAAGTTAATTATGAACCCTTCTACAAAATTCAATTTTAGCATTCTTTCTATTTGTTTTGCTATCGGGGAAAAAAAAAAGTGACAAGAAAAATGTGAAGGTGTTAGCAAGGATAGCACAGGAATCCCATTTTGATGCCTTGTGGAGAGGGTGAGGTCAAGCAGCTGTTGCGAGATTCAGCCTAAGCTGGCTCCTTGATCCATCAGCTCCATCCGATAACTGGGTACCTGTCTCACACAAAATGATTAAACTGCTGTTCTTCTCATTTTGGCAAACAAAAATCCATCAAAACTAGAAACACGGTTTGTGGCTATGGACAATAACCTAGCCAAATTAGAAACAGCTCCATTTAAAGAGGCCCCTAATATGATTGTGTCACCCATTTTCAAACTGTATATACTATATTTGATTGAAAGGTAAAAGCAGATGATCCACTTTTAGAAAGCACATGATAATAAAGAAATATAGGTATAAATAATGGCAGGGAAATTGTTTTTTCTTGTGCTGGCAGCCAGCCTGCTGCTTGTTGTGGTTGACATTAAGGTGTCAGAGATTTAACTATTGTCTACTGGAAATACATAAATTATTATAATTATCACATTTACCCCCAAAAAATTTAAAAAGCATCAACTAACACTATACATTTATACTGTATGCAGATAGATAGAAGTGGACTCTGTGGATTTCAATCAAATTTTTATTCACTGAATTAAAAAGCATAAATTCTATTGCTGCAAAAATTTGCAAGACATTTTGTACGTAATGTTCCATTCATGGAAGCACTAGTTGTCCAAGTGTATTTGGCCCATGATCGACTTGGACAGGAAAAATTTTTCATTTACTTCCCAGACTTTGGATTCTGATATTCGTTAGTGTTGCCTTTAATCTCAGCTGTGGCCAGTTTGTGTTTTGGCTTGGTTGGTTCTCTGTTGTCACCCCATGTTGTGCAATATTATTATGTAGTTGGTTTATGTTTTTGTTCTGTTTTTAGTAGATGGACATGTTTATAATGAGGTTTTTATAACCTTATTGGTAGTCTGTCAGTGTTAGTGAAAGCAATTATGTTTTGTTCTCCTTATATCTATCCAGTTTGAGGTAACCGCTGAAGTTTAAACCGCCTTCTGGTTGCATGCCGCTTATTAGTATGTGCATAAATTGTTGGCAGGTAGGTCAAGACACTCCAGAAGGTCCCTTTGAGCCTTGCATGTATCTTTGCTAATCAGTGTAATTGCAAGTTAGTGAGCCTGCAGTGATGTGTAAAGCAGGTTTAAGGGAGTATTCTATTTAAATTGACCTTTTGGCTTACTTCAGT